GCCGGGCTCAGGTGGGCTGGTGCAGGGCCCCTCCGCCCGCCGCCCCCTATTCCTGATGTTTTAAAATGTTTTACACATGATTGTCTTATGGTTAATGGAGCCAGATTCCACATGGCCAGGTGCAGTTTGAATTTCGGCCCTGGTGGCTTATAAAATACAAAATCCTAACAAGAGGGAGAAATGGAGGAATTGTGGCATGACCGTGCCCCACTGGGAGGTGCGTTCTCTCTCTCTCTGTGTCTCTTTTTCTCTGGCAAGTGCACTACCCCCTCCCCTCTGAAAGCAAAAAAAAAAAAAAAAATCCAATCCACACACTCTTTTTCAGTGGTCTGTCTCTTGCCTGCATGCCTGCAGCAGCCTCTCATGAAGGCTTTTATTTCTCAACTGGTTCCCCTCCTTACCTTTCAGTATATTATACAATTAGGGAAAGTCTTTTTAATTTTTTTTAAAGAATTATTTATTTAATTTTAGTTATTCATTCATTCATTTTAATTTGACCAAAGAGAGACACAGAGAGAAGGAGACGGAGGGAAAGTGAGAAACCAAGCCCCCCAGGCCTCGGACTAGAACCGTGGTCAACCATGTAGGAGTGTCCAGCGCCTTAACCACCACGCCACCTGCTGCTCCCCACAACTAGGGAAATTCTAAAATGTGTCTCTGACATAGTTCATTACTCTTCTGCCTAAAATCATCCATGGCTCTCACCACTCTTTTTCTTTTTTTTTTTTTATTGAGAGATTTTTGCTGTAGGGTGCGTGAGCTCGCCAGACAGAGACAGAAAGTGAGAAATCACCCCCCAGAGGGGATAGCCATGCCGCAATCCCTTCTCCTCCATTCTCCTCTCTGGATCTTGGGCACGCACGCACACACACCCAGTGTGTTTTAAGTACTGGGGTCTGGGACTCTAACCATGGTCAAGTATGTGGAAGTCCAGTGATGTAACTGCTATGCCATCTGTTCTCTCACATTGACTTTTTTATTTTAGGTATTCTTTTGTGTGTGTGGAGAGGTTTTTGCTATAGGGTATGTGCACTTGCCAGACAGACAGAGACAGAGAGACAGAAAGCGAGAAATCACCCACCGGGAGGTGAGGATGGCCACACCACATTCCTTCTTCTCCATTCTCCTGTCGGGCTCTTGGACACGCTTGCACATACTACCGGCATGAGTTTAAGCCAACAGGTCTGGGACTCAAACCACAGTTGACTACATGGGAGTCCAGCGACATAGCCATTATGCCAACTGCTGGTCCCCTCTCACTGCACTTAAGAGGGAGTTCAGGCTCAGGGACCAGCAGGTGGTGTGGTGATTAAGGTGCTGGACATTCCCACATGGCTGACCACAGTTTGAGTCCCAGACCTGGTGGCTTGCTTCTTCTTCTCTCTCTCTCTCTCTCATTCTTTCTTTGTCTCTCTCTGGTCAAATTAAAATGAATGAATGAATAAATAAAGTTAGATAATTCTTTTTAAAAAAAAAAAGAGGGAGTTCAGGCTCTGGACACTGTTACCTATTTAACCTCCACTTCCTCTTCATATTGAGACCTCTCTTCTCCTGGAGGGCTTTCCCTGTATGCTGGGCGGGGCCAGTCACCTGCACCCACCCCACTTTAACACCATCTAGGGTTATTGTCATTTTGCACTTATCTAAACAGGAATAAGGCTGCGTATGTTTGGGCAGGGCATGCACCTCCTTCACCCGCTCTGTTTTCTATGGAAACTTTGGGGAATTTTCCTGGGTTGGGGGCAGGGAGGCATGGGGTTAACACAAGCCTGCATAGCTCAGGCGTGTTATCCCACTTCTCTTACTGGATGTATCCCTCTGTGAAATAGGACAAGAGCTGCCTCATGATAGGATTAAATAAGGAGATTATGGAGGGAAAGTCCAGCAAAGCAGATGATCTAGCTCTGGATCAGGACTCCTACTTCGGGAAAGGAAGCTCTAGAAAAGCTCTCCTATTGAGTGCAGGTTCCTAAGATCTCCCTCTTTTTATTTTTTTTATTTTTTGAGAGGTTTTTTGCTATGAGGCGCGTGCGATCGCCAGACAGAGAGACAGAGAGACAGAAAGTGAGAAATCACTCCCCCCGGGGGGATGGCCATGCCACAATCCCTTCTCCTTCATTCTCCTCTTGGGATCTTGGGCATGCATGCACACGTGCCTGGTGTGAGTTTTCTAAGCCACCGGGTCCGGGATGCGAACCGTGGTTGACTACATGGGAGTCCAGCAACATAGCCATTACACTAACTGCTGGTCCTCCTAAGGTCTCTCTCTTAATTGAAGTGGCAGCTGTTCACTTTGTGGTGCAAGAAAAACCAACCTAATCACTACATCCACCATGGATAAGCTAAAAGACGACCATTTCTTTAGAATTTTAATGCTCACGGGAATAACTCTATGGCCCAGTAAGGTAGGACCAGCTTTCTCCTTGCACTTTCCAACAAACCAAACCACCTTTGCAGTACGGTTTATGGGCAGTATTAGGTGGTGGTTAAGAGAAAGGGTCTTGGAACCAGCAGTAAGCGTAATGGCTATGTCGCTGGACTCCCATGTGTTTGACTGTGGTTCGAGTCCCGGAACCGGGGGCGTAAACTCACACCGGGCGCGTGTGAATGCCTGCCCAAGATCTGGAGGGGAGAATGG